AAAAAAACTCGGAAGCTCCAAAATAATACTGGCCGGCAAAGTCAAGCCAACCGCAGTGGTGTCACAACGGTGGATATAGCCGGATGTGGATTTTCTTGTTATTTTTGCTGGCCATGAAATTGGGGGATAATAAGTGAAGTGGGCACTTTTTTGGGAGAAAGAAGATGATGAAAGGCGGAGAGAGATCAGGGAAGAAGATGGAGGGTTTAAGGTCTGATTTGGGAAAGTAGGGTCTTTTTCTTATTTTTAATTAAAAATTACAACTATTTCTTTATATAGACTATAATTTATTTAAGAAATACACGTGTCATTCTATAATTTGTCTGATTGACATGTCATCATCGAGTGTAACTCACTCATGAGGCTTGTTGAACTCGAGTATTCATGAGACACACCTGTGTTAAATAGAAGTGCCTGTCTGGTCATATGGCAAGTTAAGGTGTTCAAATGATCGTTGGGGACAACTTAAATGGCCGCTTTATGTATTTCGCCTTCTTTATTCTCTGTATTGAGTCTGTGAATTGGACATACACAAAAGATTCTCCCATTATAAGAGGGCTCCACTTGTGTTCTCTTTGTTGTTAATGTTGCTATGTCTGTCTGCTGCTTGCTAATATCCATTCTTGATTATCTACTGAATTCGTTTTCTTTTTCAGGAAACAAACAGATTGGAATACTTGATACCGAAAAAGACATCCTTGAGGCATCGGTTACCAATGGGGGATCAAGGATTTATTGACTTCGTGGCTCATCTTCTTGAAGTAAACCCAAAGAAGCGCCCATCTGCCTCAGAGGCTTTAAAGCATCCGTGGTTATCATATCCATACGAGCCAATTTCATCTTGAATTGTGTGATATTTCTTTGGCAACTTAACCTGCTGAAGTTCTGCAATTGCTCCAATATGGCTGCTCCAGTGATGAAAAAGGAGGGATATCTCAAGGTGGTCCGCATTTCCTTCCTTATCACTGGGCTCTGTATTTCTATTTTAACCCAACTGAGTATGTAGTCTTACAAATGTTATGTAACATTAGGGTTTTCTGTCTTGTTTGATGGAAGGGGATGCATGCAGTTTGTACATGATGTGTGTTGATTCTTTTAGGTGTTTAGTGATAGCTTGTGAAATAGCTCTATCCAATTTTGGTTGCTTTCCCTCATTTGCTGCAATGTATCAAAATGAAGGAAGATCAGAAACATATTTTCAGTGACTCACATTTTCATCGGATGGTCATAATGCAAGTTCCACTTGATGAAATCTTTTCCTAAGTTTCTCTCTCTCCCTCTCTCTCATATATACATACGCCCAAGCACATCTCTAAATTTTGCCAAGAATGGTTGTGGACTATGTGATCATCCCTCTATAGCCAATACTCGTGGCAAATCGATGCACGTTATGGTGGGGCGATGAGATGCAATTGAGGAATCGTGTGTGTGAGTTTAGTTATTATTCTTGAATACCTTTTCATTTGTCTGGGTCAACGCAGGTTGATAGGGCAAACGTCATATTAATTTGCTTCATTAAAAATGAAAACACAAGGGGTCGTTTGGTTTGCTAATAGGTTTAAGAGATTATAATTTGGGATTATATACATAAGTTGAACAATAACGAGATTATTAGAGGTTGGTAGATGTTTGGTTTGGATTAAGAATGGTATATATAGGATTCAATGTAAAAGATTTGCTTGATTTATACTAGATAAACTTTTATTTCCGGCTTTAGTTTTTGGTCTTCTTAAGCACTTTGGCGAGAGCATCATTGACATTTGGTCGTTTTATCGGAGATTAGCAATAATTTGGAAATTAATATCACAATTGTGTTATAAATAATCTCGGAATTACTTATCTCGGGAAAAAAAATTCAATCACATAGAGAATAAAATAATTTCACATCTTATCTAGACAAGAGATCATCATACTTATCCATAATAGCAAACGAACCTTAAGTTTATAAGTTCTAAAAACAGATCATAGAAATGAATTTGAGGTTGAGTATCTAGTGCAATCTTGATCGAAAATCATGTTCACAGAACAGTGAGTAATGCATAGTATTTTATTTATTTGATAGTGAATGTTTTCTTGGAAGTTTCTAAACGTAACGTTTGAATAATGAAAATCACAAGGAAGAAAAAGCTGTATCAATCGCTTGCTGAGCTCAAATAAACCTAACAGAGAAGTAATCGCTTGCTGGGATAAGTTTATTTGCTAACCTAAACGGATAAGTTTACTGGTAACTTATTGAAAATCCACGTGCGAAGTCTATTGACTTAGCTCCTAAATTTCAAGTTTTACATACTGTGTTGACTGCATATAAAACGGAAGACAGGAACGTAGAAATGACACCATATAGCCACTCTAAAAGGTGGCTATTTAGGAATTAGCCAGTGTGTCATAAATTCAGTTTTTCAGTCCAAATTTTTGGGATAAAATGTCTTGGATTGTCCTGAAGTTGGGATTTTTGATTTAAAATTTCAGGACAAAATAAGTGTTGGCTAATATTTAAATAACATCCCTGAAAATAAGTATTTGTGCACTTTCTCCGACATGAACTCTTTAGAGTACGACTTGCCCATATGGCAATTCTAAATTTAGACTTTGCAGGATTTAAATATGAGATATCTTAATATATTTATGCTAGGAGTAAACAATCGACATTAATGTGAATATTTTTATCCATGAAGCCAATTTACGAGTTTCATGTAGTTCTGTGCTTTCTTGAAAAGTAAAAATTGCATGGGGCGCCTTATTTGGTCGCCCCATTTAACCTATACCCATTTTTTTTAAAAGTTTTAACTTGTACCCATTTTTTAAACAACTTCAGCCCTCTTTCTCCTCCTCTTTCTCCTTCTTCTTCTTTCTTCTGCTGTTGTTGGTGCTGCTAAAGCAACTGTACAATTTTTCAAAGTTTTTTATATACAGTTGCTTTTTTTTTTTCTTCTTCTGAAGTTGTTCTTTGTATGATGAAACTGGAACCAGATGTTTCTGTAATTGTGAACTTTCTGGCGGAACCAGATTTTATTTCAGCTCGGAGAAGATCACTAGCACTTATATGTTCAGCAAAGACATTAACAAAGGATAAATTATTTTATAGGCATAAATGCATATGGGAGTTTCGTCCCACTTGGATAATTTCCCAATAAAATTCTTATTTACATATCCAGAAGATGGACGAATGGCAGTGAGTTTAATTTATAAGTGTGATTTAGCAGCACTATTTGCTGTAGGAATTGCTTTTAGGCAACTAATTAAGGCAGGAAGTTCATAGTCTTACAGTTAAACAAGACTACCTTCATCACTATATGGTTGCATTCGGGCAAAACTATTCATATTGTGTAGATGATGTCAATGCTAATTAAAAAAACTTCAGCTTTTAGTGTTGAAGTTTTTACAAATGAACTAAATAACTTCACATCTTCTGCTGAAGTTTTTGAAAAAGTTTATCCAGGACAAAAAAACTTCAGCTTATTTAGTATTGAAGTTTTTATAAATGAACTAAATAACTAAAGCATCTTCTGCTGAAGTTTTTGAAAAAGCTTAATGACAAACTAATGAATCCAGGACAAAAAAACTTCAGCTTATTTAGTGCAATTACAAACAAAAACTTCAGCAAATATAGAACAAAACTTCAGCTACTATGCTTAAGTTCAGCAATTACAAACAAAAACTTCAGCAAATAGAGAACAAAACTTCAGCTACTATGCTTAAGTTCAGCAATTACAAACAAAAACTTCAGCAAATAGAGAACAAAACTTCAGCTACTATGCTTAAGTTCAGCAATTACAAACAAAAACTTCAGCAAATAGAGAACAAAACTTCAGCTACTATGCTTAAGTTCAGCAATTACAAACAAAAACTTCAGCACACTTGGTTCATCACACTTGCTACTTCATGCTCGTCTACTAGAATGCTGAAGTTTTGCGTGATAGTCTTTGCTACTTCAGCCCCGTATGCTGAAGTTACGCGAAAAAGTGTGTACTCTTGCAATTTTTTTTGCAAAGCGGACACAAGTTAAAACGTGACCGAAAAAGCGGGTATAGATGCAAATCCCCCTCTTGAAAAGGCTAGTTTTGTAACTCTTTAACAAGTACATATCAATTGAAGTTTATAATGGCAGAGTTGGATTAGATTGCTACGGATATTTCAAAAAGAAATAAAAAAGAAAATACATTACTTACTGGAAGATATATCTTAATTGTTAATATCAAAACCAGTTTTTCTGCAGAAGGAGGTGACACAAAGTCATTAAATTGGAGTTGAACTGGAAGGCTGATAACCAAAAGACTATTTGTCTTACTTTGTCCACTTTTGATTTGTTTTGTGGCCATTTTATAATTCAACTAGGAATCCTAATCAGTTGGTTATCTAAGCCAACCATGTAACCTACATATGATATTCTTGCATTGGTTCCTGGTTCAAAGAAGCTGTCTTAGCTGTAAGGGAATAGTATGAGAGATCATAAGCATCATATTTAGTTGGCTATGACTATTATTTCCTGTACACATTAAGTTTTTGAGGAGGAAATTAACCAATAACTTTTTGCTAGCTTTCGCCTATGTTGGTGAGTGTAGAATTACAAGATTAACTCTATTCTAGTAAAGTAATAGTAACCAGTATCAGAAATGGGAAACAAGTTCAACAACAACAATAACCCAGTGGAATTCTATAAGTGGGGTCTGGGGAGGGTAGTGTGTACGCAGACCTACCCCTGCTCCGGAGGAGTAGAGAGGCTGTTTCCAACAGACCCTCGACTCACAATGATGGATATAGACAGTGGAGCAGTAACACCAAAGGAAGCCAAAAAGATAACACCATACTATAGATACAATGGAAGTAATAAGGACACAACAAGAGCCACTAGACAAAACAAATGGGAAACAAGTTCTTGAATTTGAAATTTGGAACTGAATTTGACATTATTTAGTTGACATCATATGACTAGCTAATCTTGACCTCCAGCCTCCTTTAAGACATAACAAGAACTAATAAAATACAAAATTGAACTGAAACTATCTAATACCTTCAGTAATAAATCGTTGGGGCTCATCTAACGTTGCAATAATAGCTGGCCGATGTTTATCACGGACTGTATCTAAAAATGTCGTGTGGACACTGGCTAGAGTTGGTTCGAAGGAGCAGAGGTAGTCCTTGATCATATAGTCTTTATTTAAAACTTGAGCTTTTTTATACCCATTGGTCACAGAATCATACTCGTACAAATACTGATGTCGTATCAACCGACGACTACCTTGTAGGAAAAGCACTTGTTTGCTGTCAAACCAGATTGGAAAACCATCAATATAGCCGTTCACATGACCAGTAATGACATTGTCCGAAGTGTGAGTAAATCTCCAATTGCTGCTTATGTAATCATAAGCAGCAATGACTATGGATTCCTGGAAAATGCAAAAAAGGGTAAGTAAACCTTTTGATATCCCTAACCATGTACCAAGCCTGATGTCGAAGATGAGATTATGATGATTGATGAACTCGGGAAGGTCAAGAATGGTAGCCTCTTCTCTCTTTGTATTAAAAGCAAGAACACGACCATCACTTCTGAGCCAATGCAAGGAATCATTCACGTAAACAGGTTTACTGTCAAAAGCCAAATTGTTAAAGGTCATTCTGAATTGGACTTCATGCCACTCGCCTGATCCCTCGGATGAAAATACATGAAATTTATACCCTTCTTGTTCAACCAGCTTATTAAATGTTACCAATTTATATTGATGGGACGTGGGATAATCAACAGCTAAGCCATCGCCAATTGTCTCAAAATCATGGTATGGTATAAAATGGTGCTCTCCAGTTATAGGATTGAAAACACAGAAACTCCTCAACTCACGAAATTCAAGGAGAAGAAGACCCTTGCATGAGGGAGATTTTGTTGAAGCGTTTGGGCCAATATAAATGATAGACGAATAGTGCAGAAGAAATCTTTTGATGTGGAAACCAAATTTGAGAAAATTTAAGATCAGAAATCCTAGTATTAAAGTTCTTGCTTAGAACTTTACATTGAAGTGCAAACTTCAAAGGCAAGTAGGAGATGATCTCCACAACTAAGCCATCATTCAATTCCATAGTCGCAATATATATTATAATGTTCAGTTGCGTTGATTTCTTCTTTTCTTTTTAGAGAATTAACTGCAAGTAGAACATCATATACTTAACCTAAAACGTCTGTCTATATGGATACTATACCTTTTCCTTAAAGATTTAGGTAACTTTAAAGCCTAGTATAAGTTTTTAAGTATTTTAATATTTGTAGTATAAATGAGGAAAATTGTACCTAATAGAAGGTAACTTGGACTCTAATTTTACTCTACACAAATTATGACCTTTGTTTACCAAAAATACAAAAATTTCACGTTTCTCGGTTTTCATCATTAGCCCATTTCAACACCATTGAAGTAACTGCGGCTTCTTCTCGTGTGGCACTTTCTTTAGCTTCAAATTCCCTGGTGTCAGACCCAAGATTTGAGTGTACTTTTGCATTCAATCAAAATCTATTTTCTATATAGGGTGATCACTACTAATATATCACTACGAATATATACTAACTAGTACTCTCTGGTCACATGTTGTAGTTGTGATTGTATGATTACGATAGGCAGCAGCACATGGTTCAGTAGTTTATACAATCTTTTTCTGGTGATCTATTTGGACGATTGTGCTTTTTGAATGGTGGCGATTGCAAATCTAATCTACCATTTTACTTAATCATAATATTGTCATACAAATTGATCAATCTTTTATATTATGCAAGTTGAAAAATTAAATTACACTACTTATATACTCAATGGATAAAGAAAGTATAATTTTCCAAATGTTTGTATTAATTATAAATAATTATTTAACAATTGTCTCAATTGGAAGAACTTTATTTAAGATTTAAGGCATAATCTCATATCCTTTTAAGTTTAGCTTCGTCACAACTCACGATAACCTTCCTTGTGGTTTAGGATATTAGCTTGATTTTTTACAAACAATACTTTTAACCTATTTATCGTTATAAAAAATATACAACTTAGAGTAATTTACCCTTAGTAATATTTAAAAGTAACCTTAACGGTCCTTGCTTCCTTGGACCTCCTTCCTATGCTATTTGTATACATTTTCAGTAAAATGAGGAGTTATGTAGGAGATGTTCAAAATTCATCCTTGTTTCCCGTCTTTCCCCAATCTCTGATATCAGCACCGCCCAGCTCCGTCACCTCACACGACGCCGTTCCTCAATGGCTTCGCAATTCTAGCTTCACAACCGATATCTCCGTCATAAACAACGAACTACGGTAATATCGAGAATCTAGAAGACGAAGAAGGATATGATACAGTAAAGGAAAATGAAATAGGAGAGGGAGCAAGGTATGAGTTGCTGGACTCGTTCGCGTCGGAGCGGGGCCACATTATGACTATACACTTTCTTCTTCTAGAAAATGTGATGTTCGAACTTGGGCTTCTTTTTCAGCTAATACTAATGTTTAAAGACTAGTATTTAACTCTCGTGGCGATCGAGACAATTTAGCTTTTGGTACTCTCTACAGGTGCGTATGCTTCTCTTTTATGCCTTCTTTTAGCGTATGCTGCTCTTTTTTGCCTTCTTTTAAGCTACATAGAACAAGTAATAATCAGAATAAGAGTCGCGACGCAACTTGCTTAATTTTTCTAATTTAACTGTAATTTGATTTGTTAACTGTCAGGAGAATTTAAATTCTCAACATCTAGCATGTTGGGGAGCAATATTTTGTAGTGCTTATTTGCAGTTAGTCACTGGACTGGTGGCCGAGGGCATCTCTGTTTGAAGAATATTTGCTTATTCTATTTATTGAAGTGATTGACCAGATCCATCCTCTTCTTTTTTAGGTTTGGTGGGCAACGTCAACAGAAAACAAGAAGCTAGAACCACTATCAGAAATATGGAACAGGTTCATGAATTTGAATTTGGGAACTGAATTTGACATTAGTTTTATGCGATAACTCGTTTGTCTGAAGTCAAAATCTTGACACCACAAAGAAGGCATACAATACCTCTATGAAAAGGCCGATTGACTCAGTTGAATTGATATGGGGAAAATGTTTTAAAACTAGAGACATTAAATTTGAAAGGACTAGCTAATCTTAACCTTTAGTATCCTTAGGACTAACGGAATTGACCAATAGAAAATAATAGATCAATTCTAGAAAATATGTATATAAAATGCCTAGTTTGGCCGAGAGATCTCATGGCTTATCCAGGACTTTAAAGTGATGGCTGCTCCAGTATTTTTACAATAAAGTTGTTATCGGCTGCATAGTATAAGAACATAGATATTTAACACTTGAGGGTGAAAAAGATACGGAGAAAACAAAATTTAAGGTTATCATGATTAAAGAAAAGTTCTATTTAGAATCATTCTCAACGAGTTTTCATACTTTGAAAAGGTAGAATAGTTTACAACATCTTGCTTACAGGTGCAAACATATTTTGTTATACATAGCAAACTGAGCAAACATTCTAAATTTCTTCACCATGTTTCATGGATAAGAAAGCTCTTAATTCCTGCCTCAACAAACCCAAAACTGTCAGTTCTCAAACTTGAAACTAACCCTTTTTTAGTTTTGGAAATTATACAACACAGAGAACAAGAATCGAAAGATACGGCTGGAAAATCATCATATAATCATTATCTGAATCAATTGAATTGTTTGTCAAGCTGATTATGAGTTGAAAATCTCCTTTTAATGGTGTTATTCCTGACCGAAAGTATCTTTTCCTAAAACAATGAGCAAAAAAAAAGAGAAGAGTATTAAATATAGGAAATGTGATGGAGAATTTAGATTTTTTTTCTTCATAAATTGGTGGAGACATTGAGGTAAATATTGGATAAAATTGGAGGACTACAAGAATTTAGAATGACCTTAAAGTGCTAAACAAATTTTCACTTTTAAAGGACAAAAGAGAAGCAATAAAAGATAGAGAAATGTCAATCCAGTAAGGGGCAAAAAAGAAGAATGTGCAAGCAAATGAAAAACTTCAAACCAGATCGGAATATTCATCGCCATTCTTTAATCCTGCTTTCCAATCAGCACCCAATTATCATATTAAGTGATGGGTGCTCACAACTTCATTTGTCAGCTTTTTACTGATTGTCAATAGTAATAAATTGTCGAAGCTCATCTAAAGTTGCAGTAATTACTGGTAGATGTTCATCGGAGAGTGTGTCTAAACGTGTCGTCTGGACACTGGCTAGAGTTGGTTGGAAGGAGCACATGTCATTGTTGATGATGTAGTTTTGGTTTAAAATGTCAGCTAGTTTATACCCATTGTTCTCAGAATCATACACATACAAATATCGATGTTGTTTCGTGTAACTACCTTCTAGGAAAAGCACATGTTTGCTATCAATCCAGACTGGGATACCCATGAAGTTGTCCAAAGTGTGGGAAACTCTCCAATTGCTGGTTACATAATCATAAGCAGCAATGACTGTGGATTTCCTGAATTTGCAAACAAGGGTAAGTAAACCTTGTGCCATCCCTAACCATGTATCAAAACCAGGATAAAGTTTACCATAGATGGGAGCATGATGACTGAAGAACGCAGGAAGGTCAAGAATTATAGCCTCTTCTCTCTTTGTATTAAAAGCAAGAACACTGCCATCACTTCTGAGCCAATGTAAGGAATCATTCACGTAAACAGGTTTAGTACATTGGGCCAAATTGATGAAATTCACTCTAAATCGAACTTCGTGCCACAAACCAGATCGCTCTGATGAAAATACATAAAATTTATACCCTTGTTGTTCAGCCAGTTTCCCAACGATTACCAGTTTATATTGATCTGAAGTGGGGTAATCAACCGCTAAGCCTATGCCACGAAATTTCATAAACTCATGTATAGGCTTTGGGTATGATATCAACTGGTGTGCCCCGGTTATAGGATTGAAAACACAAAAATTCCTAAACTTAAGAAAGACAAGGAGAAGAAGACCCCTGCATGAGGCCAAAACTGAAGAGTGGTCGGGTAAAAGAAACATCTCACTGTGAGTGGTTGGGAAAGGAGGGTTTATGGAGATTTTGTGGACGCGATTGGGTCCATATGAATGATAGACGAATAGTGTTGAAGAAATCTTTTGATGTGGAAACCAAATTTGAGAAAATTTAAGATCAGAAATCCTAGTATTAAAGTTCTTGCTTAGAACTTTACATTGAACTGCAAGCTTCAAAGGCAAGTAGGAGATGATTTCCACGACTAAGTCATCGTTCAGTTCCATAGTCGCAAAATTATAATATTCAGTTGCGTTGCTCTTCTTTGCTCTGTTGGGAATAGCGGTTTGTCTTGCACTTGTTTTGTTCTTTTTCTTTTTCGAGTCTAAATACAAGGAGGACATCATATACTTAACCTAAAACGTCTGTCTTCATTGGCATGGACACTACACCTTTTCCTTACACAATTAGGTAACTTTAAGCCTATTACGTGTATAAGTTTTTAATTATTTTCTCTTTTTAATATTTAAATTATGAATAAGAAAAATAGTACCTAATAGAAGATAACTTGGACTCTACTTTTATTCTACCCTAATTATGACCTTGTTTACCAAAAAATACAAAAATTTCACGTCTTCTAAGTTTTCATCATCGTGTTATCTTCAACAGCATTGAAGCAACTACGGCTTCTTCTCGTGTGGCACTTTCTTTAGCTTCAAAACTCTCTGGTGTCATTTTTAAAATCACCATTTGACTTATATGAATTCTCTGGATATATACATGTTGTAGTTGTGATTGTAAGATTATGAGCAGGCAGAAAACAATACAATCTTCTTCTGGTGATCTATTTGGGCGATTGTGCTTCTTGAATCGTGGTGGACGCAAATCTAGTTAAACATTTCACTTAACCATAATGTTGGGCATAGATTGATCAACATTTTTACATTTTTGCTTATAAAATTTCTTCTTTCAAGGTCCTAGTAGATATGCTTCAAGTTAAATAGATCATGACAAGCTCCAATTGAAAGTTCTAGCAGAAATTGTGCAATTTGAATAATTAACTGACTCTATTTAATTTACTCAATTGGATAAAAAATACTTCATTATTTTTCAAATGCCTGTATTAATTAGAGAATAAAGACAACAGTTGCCGATTTTATTTAAAATAAGGGATATTTTCATAGATCTCCCCTCACTTTTAGACTTTGCAGGATTTAAAGATGAGATATCATAAAATATTTATTTTTTGGAATTTGAATATTCTTTTTCATGAAGTCAGTGTATGAGTTTCATGTGGTTGCATGCTTTCTCGAGAAGGCTAGTTTTGTAACTCTATGATCAGAAATAAATTGAAGTTTATAATGACAGAGTTGGACTAGATTGCTACTGGATATTTCAAAAAAAAAAAAAGTAGTATCAAGCATCTTAATTGTTAACATGAAAACCAGTCTTTCTACGGAAATTGGAGTGGCAAGGCTGATAACCAAAAGATTCTATTCGTATTGCGGCCATGTCATAGTTCAATTTAGAGTCTTAATCAGTTGGTTTTCTAAGCCAGCCATTCAGCCTACATATGATATTCTTGCATCAGTTTATGGTTCAAAGCAGCTGTTTTATTTAGTTGGCTATTATGACTTATTTCCTACCTAATTAGTTTTCACCTATGCAGTCCTAGCCTGCGTATAGTGCTGAATGCAGAATTGCAAGATTGTAAACTCTATTCTGGTAACAACCTTTTTAACTGTTCTGCATCTTCAACGCGCAGCCTATGTCGTATCTGTGCTCCTTTAACAGCGTTTTCGTACTGCTTATTTGCAGTTAGTCACTGGAGTGGTGGCGAGGGCAACACGGTTTGAAGCAATATTTGCTTATTCTATTTCTTGAAGTGATTCCATACTCTGTTAGGAAACAACTTGGTCAGCAGACAAATAAGGCACGAAATATCTATATGACTTGTTAGGGGGAAATAGTTCTAAAATAAGACATTAAATTTGAAAGGACTAGCTAATCTTGGCCTTCAGTATCCTTTAGGACATAGAAACAACAAATAAACTACAAAATTGAACTGAAACTAAGTGGTGCCTTCATTAATAAGTCGTCTAAGCTCATCTAACGTTGCAGTAATAGCTAACAGATGTTTTCTGTGGACTGTGTTTGAGATTGTCTTATGGACACTGGCTAACGTTGGTTGGAAGGAGCACAGGTAACTATTAATGATGTAGTCTTTGTTTAAGACACCAGCACTTTTATACCCATTGATCTCAGAATCATACACATACAAATGTCGAAGCTGTTTTAGGCGACGATCTTCTAGGAGAAGCACATGTTTGCTGTCAATCCAGATAGGGAAAACCATCAAAAAGGTCATGCCTCTTAATGAAGTTGTCCAAAGTGTGGGAAATTCTCCAATTGCTGCTTACATAATCATAAGTAGCAATGATTATGGATTTCTTGAAAACGCAAACAAGAGTAAGTAAACCTTGTGCCACCCCTAACCATGTATCAAAATCGGGACTAATTTTACCATTGATGGGATCATGATGACTGATCATGAACTCAGGAAGGTCAAGAATCGTAGCCTTTTCTTTTTTTGTATTAAAAACAATAACACGACCATCAGTTCTTAGCCTATACAAGGAATCATTCACGTAAACAGGTTTAATACGGAGAGTCAAATTGCTGAAAGTCACTCTAAAATGGACTTCATGCCACACACCAGATCGCGCGGGTGAAAATACAAAAAATTGATACCCTTGTTTAGCCAGCTTCACAATGATTACCAGTTTATATTGATCTGAAGTGGGGTAATCAACGGCTAAGCCTGCATTACAAAAAATCATAAACTCATCTATAGGTTTTGGGTATGATATCAATTGGTGCGCTCCAGTTATAGGATTGAAAACACAGAAATTCCTACACCTATAAAAGTCAAGGAGAAGTAGACCCCTGCATGATGTCAAAACTAGGGGAAAGGTAAAAAAGATGTCTCATAGTGAGTGGTTGGGAAAGGAGGGTTTATGGAGATTTTGTGGAAGTGTTTGGGTACATATGAATCATAGATGAATAGTGTTGAAGAAATCTTTTGATGTGGAAATCAAATTTGAGAAAATTTAAGATCAGAAATCCTAGTATTAAAGTTCTTGTTTAGAACTTTACATTGAACTGCAAGCTTCAAAGACAAATAGGAGATGATTTACACAACTAAGTCATCACTCAGTTCCATAGTGCAAAATTATACTCACTCCGTTTCAATTTATATGAACCTATTTCCGTGTAAAAAAGAATGACCCATTTCCTTATTTGGAAACAATTTACCTTTACACAATAATTTATAGCCACACAAAATATATGTGCCTTATTTTACACCACATAATCAAAAGTTTTTTTTTTTTTTAATTCCGTGCTCAGTCAAATGGGTTCACATTAATTGAAACGGAGGGAGTAATATTTTGTTGCTTTGTTCGCCGTTTGTCTTGTACTTGATTTCTTCTTCTTCTTTTTCGAGTATAACTGCAAGGTAGAAATCATATATATAACCTAAAACTTCTCTGTCTTCATTGGTATGGACCTTAGCTGGACACCACACCTTTTCCGTACACAGTTAGGTAACTTTAAGTTTTAATTATTTTCATTTTTTAATATTTTAATTATGAATAAGGAAAATAGTACCTAATAGAAGTAGGGTTGTGCATAATTTGGTAAATATCGAATTACCGTACCTAAATCGAAAATTTTGGTATTTGATATTCGATATTTTGATATTAGGTATGGTATTTGGTTTAATTTTTAAAAACAATTGGCACTACAGATCTAGGATTTAAGGCTTATGGGTTCCTACTGCAATTTCAAATTAATATGCAATAATAACTGAGTTCGCAGTTAGATATTTATAAATATTTAAGTGAATTTCTTAATATAAATACAGGGTCTATGCAAAAGTTACTGGGTTCCCGGGAACCCGTATTGTATACTCTAGGTCCGCCCCTGAGGTATGGTATTTGGTATTTTAAAATGAAATACCGAAATACTGATACCGTACCGAAATAGATATTATATTGCACAATACACATATTATTAATTATAACATAAATATAAAAAATCTAAAATTTTACTTTCCTTTATTCTTTAAGTTCATCAATTGACTCTAAGCAAGTAACAAGACATTTCTAAAGATCAAATTTATTCCTTTATATACAGTTTTCTCTCTCTGGGTTGATATTTGCTGGTTTTGGACAAAACTTTTGTCGACAAGCATTTTTTGTTTTGTACTTTTGAGTATTTTAATTAAGAATATTACAGTTTATGATTCAACACACTAGTAAGTATTCAAACTAAATAAATCGAAGTTACCGAACCAAATAAACCGAAACTAAAAGGAGAAAAATCGAACCATACCGAATTTAATTAGGTACGGTATTGGTATAGCATTTTAAGAAATCGAATACCGAAAATACCAAACTGAAATGTCTAAATACCGTACCGTACCAGCCGACGAACACCCCTAAATAGAAGGTAACTTGGACTTTACTTTTATTCTACACAAATTATGACCTCGTTTACCGAAAGTACAAAATTTCCACGTCTTCTCAATTTTCATCATTAGTCAGTTTTAACCTTTACGTATCCTTAACTTCAACACCATTTAAGCAACTACGGCTCGTGAGGCACTTTCTTTAGCTTCAAAATTCTCTGGAGTCATCTTTAACATGATCATTTGACATATGAATTTCTCGATACATGTTGTAATTATGATTGTAAAATTACGAGCATGCAAAAAACAATATAAAAAATCAGCAACGTAATGAATCGATTGAGCTTGAGGTGAGCTCCAATGGTGGAATGGAGTCCCGGAGAAAAGGCCCCAAATTGGGAGCATGTGCGAGAAGGGAAAAATAATGAATTTGAAAATGAAAGTCTCAATTGTATTGACTCAGCAATGTCGTATATATACATTACACAATCAAAAGGAAAGCTTAACAAAAGAACTAAACTAATCGACTAACTAACTAATGGAAATGTAACCGACTTAACTAACAAACTAACTAATTGGTGCTAAAGCTGCAAGTACAACTACTCTAAAGCTACAAATACTAAAGCTATAAATAATGTGATACATCTCAATACCCCCCTCAAGTTGGAAGTGAGGGTATCACTGCCAACTTACTAAGAATGTTGGAATGTTTAATCCATGTGAGGGCTTTAGTGAAAATGGCTGCAAGCTGATGATGAGTCCCAATGTGATGTAGAGAAATGAGGCTCTCTTGTAGTTTGTTTCGAACAAAATGGCAGTCGACCTCAATGTGCTTCGTTCGTTCGTGAAATATTGGGATCCTTGCTATATGAAGTGTTGACTGACTGTCCCAAAACACTGCAATGGGATTGGAGAATGGGACTATGAGTTCCTCAAGTAACCTTTGTAGCCACACTAACTCACCAACTACTTTCATGATGAACCTATATTTTGCTTCTAATGGCAAGGAAATGGTTTCCTGCTTCTTTGATTTCCAGATAATAGGGCTATTTCCCAGCAGGACAATATAGCGAGTGACTGATTTCCTGGAGTCTGGGCAGGATGCTCAGTCAGAGTCACAATATGCTTTTACCATGCAGTCGATATCTTTAGAAAAGAAAATTCCTAGGCTAGGATCAGCCTTCAGGTATCTTAACAGGTGATAGGCTGCCTTTAAATGTGGTTCCCTTGGATGTTGCATACACTGACTTAGATGATGAACAATGAAAGATATATCCAATCTTGTGTTGGTTAAAAAGTTCAGTTTCCTAATCAATTTTCTATAACAGATAGGATCTGATAGGGGAGCTCCTTCCTTTGCTTTTAGTTTCATATTTGGATCAAGAGGTGATGATAAGGAGGTCAAACTAAGACAGTCATATTCTTTTAGGAGATCAATAAAACTTTCTTTGGGAGATAATGACTCCATCATCTTTATAAAGAATTTCATGTAAGAATTTCTTCAAAAGCTTTATTTCTTCCAGATCTATTCCTATGAGTATCACAATATCAACATACACTGCTACATGCAACAAAGATGTCCCATTCTTTTTGTAGAACAATGAATAATCATGCATAGAATGCTCATAACCTCTGGAGAAAAGTACTTCTATTAATTTCGCATACCAGTGTCTACAGGCTTGTTTCAGGCCATATAGAGACTTATTTAGCTTACAAACCAGCCATGATTCAAGGACCATTAATCCATATGGGATCTCCATAAATACTTTCTCATTTAAATCTCCATGAAGGAAGACATTGTTTACATCTAGTAGAAACATGTCCCACCATCTCTTTATAGCCACTGCTATAAGCCCTCTCACAGTGGTCATCTTTATCACTGGTGAGAATATTTTTGTGTAGTCTATTCCTTCTTATTGTATGTATCCTTTTACCACCAAGCGAGCTTTAAACCTTTCAATACTTCCATCGGCTTTATGCTTCACTTTATACACCCACCTGCAACCTATAACCTTCTTTTCTGCTGGTAATGGGACCAGGTCCCATGTGTGATTGGCATATAATGCCTCAAATTCCTGTGTCATAGCTACTTTCCAAGCATGATTAATAGCAGCCTCTTCATAAAAGTTCATTATCATAACAGACACTTTGCATCAAAGACTGACTATCTTGGATTAAGGCTTCAGGAGAGACAAAATGATGGTTTGACAGTAATGCATTAAGAGACGGTATACAGCCGTTGGAATGTAGTTTAGGAATAGTATAAATGTAGTCATTTAGGTATATAGGTGTTTTGATTTCTCTGTGTTCTTCTAAGTATAAGAGTGTTCTGATTATCAATTTGAAGTGAATGATCATTTAAAACTGGATGTTGAAGGTGGATCTAAAAGTCAGTGACTATCATAACTTACAATTGGACTGTTGTAAGGTGATATAGGCGGAACATTAGCAGGTGATAGTTCATTGTCCATGGGACTTGCACCATCTAGATTATTTTCTACGTTGACTTGCACACTACCATTAACATCATCCACAAAATCAACAAAAGGAACACATTTTAGCATAGAAGGAAAAGAAGTGACATCTGGAACAATTGCAAAAAGAAAAATATTTTCATGAAAAGATACATCTCTTGAGACTCGAATTTTCTTGGTAGCAAGACTCAGGACCTTGTACCCTTTGGTTCCAAAGGGGTAGCCTATGAAAATGTGTGGGATAGCTCTAGGTTCAAATTTATCCCTGTGTACTTTAGGTATTGTTGGGTAGCACAAGCATCCAAAACTTCTCATTTGGGAATATAGTGGTTTCTTCTTATATAGGAATTCAAATGGACATTTGTTCTTAAGATATATAGTGGGCAGTCTATTTATAATGTAGGTCGATGTCAACACATTTTTCCCTAGTATTTCAAAGGTAGTTTTGACTGAAATAGGAGTGCCTTGGTTGTTTCAAGTAGATACTTCTATTTTCTTTCTACCACACTATTTTGTTGTGGTGTATATGGACAGGATTTTTGGTGAATGATGCCTTTTAACTGAAAGAAAATGTTAACTTTTGTGTGTCGACGCCCCCTTTTTTTCTCTAACCGTGGGGTCAGAAATCGGGTATATGACATTGGGAGGATAACTCTATTCCCTTTCGAGAATTGGGTTTAGAAGTTGAAGAGTCGCCACCTAATGATTATAGTGCATTAAGACACTTTTTTAGAAGAGTTTGAGTTGGAAAACCAGAGTTCGGGTAAGGGCTAGAAATTATCTCGAGGAGAAGGTGTTAGGCACCCCTCAAGATCCACTAGCGTGGTTCCCGACCATGTTGCAATTGTGACTTTACAGGTAAACAATCAAAGCTCAAATAAGGACTCGCATATAACATTGCAATTAGGTTGAAAACTTTTGAAAGTATATAGAGAGGGCAGAAATAAAAAAAAAGATTTGAATAATTTTACAAGAAAAGATGAAAGCAAATAAAGGGAGGGGGGTCCTAAGTTTATAATTAATATGGATCACTTCAATGCAATACCCAGCGATCACTCCTCAGAAGAGGGGTTGCACGTGATATTAACGCACCGGTCATCATATCCATATCTACCATTCCCACCCTGTTAAGGTATTAAAGTGCAGAATGGTATCGTTACTTATTGCAT